CCCTTCTGTTTTATATTTGAAGGAAACGCGACGTGGTTTTCATGTAATTGTCACTGAAATGGTATTAAATGCCACTTGCGCTATTTTAGACTCTGAATTTGTTTTTTTTCAGTGCGAAACGCTGAGAAACGAGTTCAAAGAAGTTCACAGACGCTACGAGAGCGCCAAAGCGGACGGCCAGAACAGTGAGGTTGTTCAGCAAGATATCGCGATGATGGAAAAAGAGAAAGAGCAGCTTCTTAGAAGAACCGCGAAAATGAAGAAAAAAGCTGCTGCGATGACCGGGGACAGCGAAGCTTTGCTGAAGATCGCCAGCCAGCTTCGACGTGAAGTAGAAAGAAAGGAAAACTTGAAAGAGTACAGAGAGGAACAGAGGAAACAAGTAAACCCTGAATGTTGGTAATGAGTAATCTTCATCTGACATGCAAATATGTTTGCAGCATTTTCAATGATTCACTTCCTGGATTGTTCGTAACAAACATTTTTATTATACCAGTGTCTTCGGATGATGTGATCTCTGTCATCCTTCCTATGAAGCATTCTGGCTTTGGAACTTTCTGCACAACCTACTCGGTAGTCAGTTATTTTTCCTTTCTCGCTAAACATAATAGTTTTACTCAAGCAAGAAGTAGTCGCATACTATGCCTAAGAGTTCAGGTTTCCTTCGAGGGACGGTTTAATCCCCTCAACTAGAGAATCTACTTACATATCACCACTCGGTTTTAGTCAATATCACCTTGGTTTACCATAGTGCCCTTGTGTCTTCCTCAGTCCTCTGATCGTCGGATATATATATATACCGCACTATAGTTGAAGCGAACAATTCCGACGATCAGAGGACTATATATATATAATATTGCTGCCGCATATTGTTTCGCTCATGTTCTTGACCTGTTTGTCCACAAGTCAGTCATCTCATATGATCGGCCCTAATACTGTATTATTCTGCGTTGCGTACGATATTTGTTTCTTTTTCTAAAATTCATCGTTTCATCAAGGTAACAGTGAATGTATTGGAGAGCTTCCCACTGAAGTGATTGTAAAAATTCTTCTTTTGGAGTTAACCATCCTTGAAAGTCTAATTATTCTACATATAGTTTATTTCATTATTAGCAGAGAGGACTGTTTGAACATAATTATGATTTTGACATTACCTATTATTTGCACTGTCTTTCGACTGTAGCATTTAACTGCCAAGTAGTTGATTCATCTAATGCTTATCCAGCTGACCGAATACGTTTTCGAAAGACCTTCAGTTTTTCATTTCTTAGCTGCTCCATATCGATCAGAAGCTGCAGCGACTTCAGCAGAAAATGAATGAAATTTCGAAAGAGAAAAAAACCCTGAACCCGGAAGGTGAGACATTCAGATCCGCTCTGAATTCTCGGCAGTTTGTTTTTGAGTTTTAATTAGAATTGGTAGCCGAAGGCAGAGAAGAAATCGATGTACTGAAATACGTGTTGAATGAGAAGATGCCTTCTGAACGTGAAGCGTTAGACGATGCGATTCAAAAGCTGAAAGAAATTCTGGCTCTACCGTCAGTGCAGCCAGAGGACTTGGACGATTTGCGAAATAAGGCAAATATCATTTTTTTCATAGGCATCTGACGTGATATATTTCATAATCGATTTCAAGATTATCGAGCAAGAGCAAAAAGTTCAAAGTCTTGAAGCAAGGAAGCGAAGCGGCGAAAGCGAAACCGACCAGAAACT